ATAACCTTCGCTGGAACATTTCATTTTATGATAGAAACACTACTACAATAAAAAAAGCTGTTTATTGTGGTCATGACTAAAAAAGTATAGTCTAACCTGCTACAAGCAGAAACGCTTGGAACAAATCATTGCTTTCTGCTTAAAGGAGGTTAAAAATAATAATAAAAAGGAACGAGTTAGGGTTTGGCAGTCAAGCCACACCCAAGGGAAATTAAAGGGTAACTGACAGCTAAAAGGTCACTTTTTCGGAATACCGTCTAAATGCCTCAGGTAACACATTGAAACAGATACAATGTGCTTCGAATACCTCTTTGTGCTTTTTTTGACCGGGAAAACTGTCTTAAATGCAGCTTCGTGAGTCATCCGCCGGAAATGCTTTGATTTTGATCATGCGACCTTTACGTCACACGTGTGCACATTAAGCAGAGTAAATACGGCGGATAGCACCTCGAGTGAAAGCAATTCTATTTCGGGGTCTGATTATTCGGACTTTGAGGACTCGATAGAATGTGAACATAATGAAAGGGTTTATGAACCTGTTGGTGAAATCAGGCCCTCGCAATTTGAACCGCCAGGACGAACCCAACATAGAGCACGAGAGTCAGAAGAGGAGCCGCGGCCGCCTCAATGAAGAAAGCGAGAATGGTGAGTGCATTTACGATTGTAAATAAAGTATCTGAAAATTAGTCGCTTATTAAGTGTAAGAGTGATCAAGTAAAGTAAACCGAATGTGCAGACTCTTGAATACCATGAGAGCGAAGTGTTTTTATGTTACACGCAGGCACCTTCCGAAGCTAGGGTTTCATTGACTAAACATATAAACATACGCGCTTGTGGAGGTGAATTGGATGGACTATACTCGTTTCCACGTGATTGAATCGGTTTTTAAGTTTTCCTGTGTTGAATTTGGCTAACGATTAAAGATTTCTCGGCTTTTCCTTAAAAACCCGATGCAATAAAAAATAGCATCGCACATGTAGATCTGAACATCCTCTAAATATTAACTTACTGTTTACTTGTGGTCTTTGCGCCTTGTTTATAGCGTATAGCCCAAAGTTTGAATTATCTCTCGCGTTTGTGACAGTTATAGAGCTGATAATTGTTCCTTTTGGTGAGACCAATCATAAAACTTGTGCTCTCTATTTCCTCTATTCAACATTTCGAAAAAAATTGCTACGGTACCGATTTTTTTTAATACAAGGAGTCAGTGTGGAGGAAGTAAAATGTATTGTCCAGCATTCAGTGTTTGAGGAAACGGATGAAGGCTGACTCCGTCTGTATTTCTTTTGTTTCAAAACATCACTACACAGCACTTCCTGGTTTTCGTTTTCTTTGTTTCACATCATGTTGTTTTCCGTCCATATTATAAATGTCAACGGGGGTAAGGGTGGTACAGTTTTGGATAACTTGAGCGTGAACATAAATATATATGTGTGTGTGTGTATGTGTTTTTTTTTAAGTTCAGGTCGTAATTTGAGAAAACATTTCGTACTTTTTATTCTCGGTTCTTTTTTTTTCTTTTTACCAAAACTCTGCGTTTTAAACGGTGGGAGCAAGGCATTCCTATTACATGTGCTTTAATGGTTTCACCTCTTAGGCTCTCGGCTTATTTTACGATAACGAGCGTGAGTAATCTACTGTTCATTTTTGAAACGAGTAACCTTTCGGACAGGATTGATTTCATCATGTTTCCGGTCACAAATGAGAAACAACGCTCGAGTGTAGCACTCGCAACAAGGCGTTTCTTGTAACTTCCGTTTATAGCATGTTTCTGTTGTTATTCACATCCATTGGAAGTTAATTAAACTCTTGAACATTTCCGGAACGTGGCAGAGAAGTTTCATTCACGAAACCAGATGACGACCTCCCATAATACGCGACAACACTTTGCGCTTAGTCACGCTCACTCCAGAACCGATGGGCCTGAGGACATGGTTACATACACCGAACAAAATCTAAACTCAAATACTTTCGGTATAAACTAAAAAATATTTCTTTAAGTATAGGACTCGATATAGTGGTTAAGAGAAAAAAATTATGGGAATACATCTTTTTAAAGCTGTTTGGAATGGCGTGCAAATTACCTGTGGCTCTGAATACAGACGTGCGATCTGTCGCGTTTCGTTTATTCAACCTTTGTTATTTTATTTCTCACTTCGTATTTCATAGAATGATGCTGGCCTATATCAGAATGGAACAAATCCTATTTTTTTCCACTCGTAAATTTCGGCAGCAGCTGGACAGCAAGGGCGAAGTTGTTTCTTTCTGGTCTTGACATGACGCTTTTCACTGTTATACACACGTGCGACGTATCACATCACGTGACCTGGATCAGAACGTTTTCAAGATGGCCGTCCACTGAACGTTAGAAAATTTGGTTTTGCACAATATATCGTTTATTTGCTCATTTAGGATTCTTTAACCTAAGAGGATTGTATTGGGAAAAAAAAAGGGAAAAAAAATTGGCGTCAGTTACCCTTTAACTTTCCTCGGAGGATTTTGTTTTCATGTTTCATGACCAGTTGGACAGAGGACTGACTGATCAACTGTTTCTGTCTATGTACATGTAATATCTATTCCACAGGTGGACAGTGTTCCCCATTATGGCATTGATTGGAATGGCCCCTGACCTGATCGTCAGTGGGGTGGAAACAGTGTACTCCTGGATGACACAATGCCCGTGGAAGTTCCTGATATAGAATAAACTAGTATTGCAGAGAATGATCTACATGTATGCCTGGAAGAGAATGGCCCCCTAGCTGAGAGTCAGTGTCTGGGATTTCATATCTACCTTAATCTTATGTTACATTTGCAGGCATTAGTTAATGTCTACATGTAGAACCATTTGAGTTCTATGTCAGTGTGATTTTCCTGTCAATTACCAAAATGGAACTAATATAATGACTAAGTACTTTTGGTTATTTTGATGCTAATTAAAAATACAAGAAAATGTATCACATGAAACTAAGGACAAACCATCATCCTTTTCACATATTTTTTTCTACAACACAAAGGAATACTTTAGGAAAGTTTGTACAATGTTTTGTATTTGTAAAAACCAAAACTAAAATATGCTATTTACTGATTCTGTCCTTAAAGTACATCTATACATGTGTAACATTGATGACTGCTCATGCAAATTCACCCATCATGGTTTTAAAAGCAAGATTTTAATAGTCCTACAGAAAGGATCTGCTAATCACTGCATAACACATCAGTACATTGAGAGTACTTGTAAGTATAATGCTGAAATCCTTATAGTAAGTTGTAGTAAGATTATTAAGAAGACTTAAACGTTGTGGAAAACATTAACTTTGTTGTTCGCAATTAATTTTCCCTTTCTCCATTGATAACCACAACTGAGAAAAATTGTTTGAGGCTGTTTTTCCCTTAAGTAAGAGTGATAAGCTGAGTCAATGTCATGGAGAAAACTCCATGAAGTTGGACATTTGGGTTTACCCTTGGGATTCCCAAAAGAACATGGAATCGAGAATTGTAAGGGACAGAGTCACAAGCAGAATTAGTGTTCTGCATCTGATTCTGTCAGGTGAAAATCAGCCTTCAGTCCCTTAGTCTGGGACTAGCATTTTTTTTTTTAATGATAGCTTGATAAGTTCTTTGTAACGCGACAAAACAAACGAGAGAACAACTACAAATCAATACGCGTGGTTGTCAACAATACTGATAAAATTTTGCCAGCATATTTGGTTGACATGCAGCAAGTTAGCAAATGGAATAAAGGATACAAGTATGTGCTCATGGTCATCGATGTTTTCAGTATATATGAATAATAAAACCTCGCCTTGAAAGACAAGAAAGGTTAAACTGGGACTGAGGCATTTAAGACCATATTCAAAGAAGGCAGACAAACACAACATCTTTGGGTATACAAGGGAAAAGAGTTTTATGACAAACATCTCAAAGAATTGTTGCACAAACAAAGCGTAAAATTATACTCAATACAAAAGGAAGAAAAATCAAGTGTTGACAGATGGAAAAGAACAATGAGCGATCGACGAAGGGCTCACGCTCGAAAAGTCAGCCTTTTACTCTTTATTGTGGTTAATTTACGTTTTCAACTCAGTTGTTAACACTAAATTACCTACATTACCAAGTAGCGGAATACATTAGAAGATTTTATCCAGAAGTCATCTTAATTGCACAGCTTGGTTAAAATCAAGACACTTTATATAAAAGATTAGATTCATATGGAAGAGGTTACATGAAAGGTCAACCAGACATAATTATTGCTAATAACCATTTGAAATATAATGGATTCTGCATTGAAGTTAAATCACCTACTGATAACTACCAAATATCTGATGAACATTTGAAATTGGAAAATGATTATGAAGACGATGGTTACAAATACACGATTTCTAATGATTAAGATCTCATAATTAGAGAATTAAAAGAATACAAACCTAACATTAAAATTAAGTGCAAATATTGCGAAAAGAACTTAGAATCAAACGAATCTCTATCCAATCATTTAAAACATTTACAAAAGATACACAAAGAAAATAGTGCAGTATAATATATTATGAGTAATAATAAATTAACTACAAAACGTGGAAAATACACAATTGATGAGGAAAGAATGAATGCTATACGAAGATCAAAAGCCAAACAAATGTTGAATAAGGAGTGGTGGTGTGACATTTGTGACAATAATCATAATTACTCTTGGAGGTAAGTGGATGCATCTAAAAACCAAGAAGCATCAGAAAAATGCAGAAAACGAATAATTTTCTTTTTTTCTAAAATGTTTTATTTAATACGTAAAGGTGGATTAAATAAGATATAAAAGATATTCAGTTATATTCTATTATTATGGAATCGAAAGTTATCAAATTATATAACATGAAAAAGCTGATCTCAAAAAGCTTAGCAAATCACAGTTAATAAAACTGTTGTTGAAGCAAAATTTTGAACCAGAAAGACCAGTACCCAAACCAAGGATAAAACCAATTCCAACACCACGGAAAAATGTTAAACAGATGGTGCAAGAATTTGAAGATAATATCATTCCTCCACCAGTTGAAATTAGAGATGGGTGAAAACCAACCCTAATACCCAGAAAAAAGGTTGTAGTACCAGGTGCAGCACTAAGGACAAAAATAGAAGGGAAAAGTAAATCTCTCAAAGAATATACTAAATCATTTAAAATAGGTGTGAACAATGATACAGATCCATTTAAACAAAACACTGGAACAAGAAAAGCCATTCAATACAGACTCGCGCAACTGTTGGGTGAAATGAAAGGTTTGAAATTTGTCGAGACTTTGAGCATCATATTTGAAAAGATCTCACAAGATGTTGTCATCGATAAACAGCTTATTTTAAAAGTTCACCCAAAACAATAACTAACTTTGCTGATCTTGAAGATGATCTTGTGATTTCAGGTCTTGAATATCACAAGGCTCTGGTCAGATTATTAAATCATTTGATAGACATTGGATCAATATTATTCGATATAATCCTCTGAAAGAATTATCATACATTCAACTACCATCAGAATTAAGAAATTCAACCAAAGGCTTGATTAATATAAGAACTAATGACAACAAATGTTTCCAATGAAGTCACATCAGACATGTGAATCCACAAGAAAATAACGCAGAGAAAATAAAAAGAGAAATAAAAATATGTTGACGAGTTGGATTATTCAAACATTGAATTTCCAAAATCTGTGAAGCAGTACAATAAAATTGAGCAGCAGAATAACATCAACATAAATGTATTTAGTTATGAAGAAAAACAAGCCTTTCCAATCTACGTATCAAGAAAAAACAAGCATTATGTACTCATCAAAGATTTCAAGATGTTCATGTATCACGAAGCAAAACGTCAACATAGAAAACACTTTTGCACGTACTGTTTGTAATGTTTCAGCAGTAAGAAGACACTTACAGACGAAAAACTGACTGTATCGTGATAAATGGAAAGTAGGCAGTAAAAATGCCTGAAAAGGTAATAATACATTAAAATTCAATAGTTCTCACAAACAATTGCCAGTACCTTTTCTTATCTACGCAGATTTTGAAGCAATAACAGAAAAGGCTCACACATGCGTACCAGATAATTATGAATCATACACTGAAGCATACCAGAAACACACAGGCTGTGGATATGGTAATAAGGTAGTTTGTTGTTATGATGATAAATACAGCAAGCCAGTTTAAATATACAGAGGAGAAAATGCTGTCTATAAGTTCATGGAAAAGATAATTAAAGAAGTTGATTGCTAGAAAAAGAACGTTAAGAAAGCATTTCAATAACTATTGAAAACGTCTGATGAAGAGGAACAAAAATCTAAGCAAGCCAAAGAATGTCATATTTGCGGTAAATCATACACACAGAAAGATATCAGAGTAAGAGACCACTGTCACATCACAGGTCAGCTCAGCAAGATGGTAATGACAATCACTTCAGATTTAAGATTGATGAAATCAAAATACCAGTTATCTTCCATAATTTGAGAGGTTATGACAGCCATTTCAGTATGCAAGAGATTGGTGAAATAGCAAAAAATACACATACAAGGATAAAAAAGGTGAAGATAAACAGATGGACATTAATGCTAATCCAAACAACATGGAAAAACACATGGCTTTTATGTTGGGCAAGATTTGATTTTTCTTCATAGTATTCAATTTATGAACTCAAGCCTTGACAGATTAGCGAGCAATTTTACCTAATGAAGCATTCAAATACACATCACACGTCTTCAAGATGAGAAATTCAAACTCATGAAACAGAAAAGTGTTTATCCATATGATTATATGGACAGTCTTGATGAGTTTGATGAAAAACTCACAGGAAAATTTTAATTTTACAGCATTCTTCAAGATGAGCACATACGTGATGAGCAATACATACATGCTCAAAATACGTGGAATACATTCAATCTCAAGTCAATCGGTCAGTATCATGACCTGTATCTTAAATCAGATATTCTTCTGCTTGCTGATGTATTTGAGAATTTCAGGAAATACTTGTCTGTATGATTATAAACTTGATCCATGTCATAATTTTACATCTCCTGGACTGTCTTGCGATGCTGTGTTAAAAATGACTGATATAAAATTAGAATTAATGACTGACATTGATATGTTTCAATTCGTTGACAATGGAATATGAGGGGTGGTATCCCATATATTTCAAACAGATATGGAAATGCGGACAACAAGTACATGAAAAACTATGATAAGAATGAACCCTCAAACTATATTATGTATTTGGATGCTAATAATCTATATGGTCATGCTATGAGTCAGCATTTCCCAACAAGTGGTCTCAAATGGCTGAGTGAAAAAGAGATTGAAAAGACAGACCTAGGTAAATACACAGACGACAGTAGAAAAAGCATTAATTCTCAAAGTTGATCCCACAGAAATTACGTAACAGTCATAATGGCCACACACTTGCTGCTGAAATATTAAACGAGACAGAAATACAATTTAAGCATCGCACAGGTCAAAAAAATTGTTCCAACATTATCTGGAAAGTAAAAATATGTCCTTCAGTGCAGAAACCTTCAACTGCATCTTGATCTTGGATTAAAGCTGTAGAAGGTTCATAGAGTTGTACAATACAATCATTCTGCCTGGTTGAAGCAGTATGTTGATTTAAACACACAGGAAAGAACTGCTGCTTAAAATTAAGCTCAAAAAAATTTTCTATATGCTTATGAATAACAGCGTATTTGGCAAAACAATGGAAAACATTTGTAAAAGAGTAGACGTCAAACTAATAACTGATGAAAAAAAATTATTGAAATACAGCTCCAAATCAACATTTGTAAGCAGTAAAATTGTCAATGACAATCTTGTAGCTATTCAAAAACTAAAAGAATATGTCATTCTTAAAACATCAGCATACCTGTCATTAAAGAAAGATAATTATTAATAGACACAATTTAATTAAGAAGCAAGCAAATATAGTATTTTAAAACTATCTAGAGTTTTATTTAGAAATCTTAACTATTTAAAGACACCGACAGTCTAGCTTTTGAAATCGTAACAGTTATATTAAAGAGAATGAAAAAGGTGGTAAAACAGCAAAAAGTATTTTTAAAATATCTTAAAAAAAAGAACATCAAATATGAAGACTACAAAAACTTTCTATTCAACGAGCAACAAATAAACCCCAAAATGAAAACCATCAGAAGTATAAATCATCAACTCAGTAGTTACAAATTAAACAAAATATCATTATCATGCTTTGATCATAAGCGGTACATCCATCACAACGGAATCACAAGTTATGCTTAGGGACACTTCAAATGTTAAAACTTGTTCCAGTAGCAGTTCTTTTTTACTGTTGCTTGGAAATGGTATCTTCAACCTCAGTGTTTTCTTTTTGAAAGAATTACGCATGGTCAGCTGCTCTATAGTTTCGTTTTTTTCACGTATATACGATAAATATTTCAATTCTCTTCGATAACTTCGATGTTTGTTCTTTAAAGCAAGGATTTTCTCACATCCTTTGAAAATCTCCATGACCTTCGCAACATTGCTTTTCGATTCAGAAACATGCTTGCATGAAATCTGATGAGTCACTACTCGATGATGTCAATGCGTGGGCAGAATGTCAATTACTGAGAAATAAACATCCTGGATTGCTCGGAATTCTTTCTCATCATAAGTTCTCTCTGATTGTTGTTATAATAAAATTTCTATATGATTTATCCAGCCAATTTTCACCATTGTATGAAAAGTATATAGTAGATGGTTCAAATTGGGCTCGAACACACCATCTACTATACTATTCAAACCTAATTATCAGATTTTGCAGATTTCAAGTTCTACGTTTGAACCGGGCCTTAGAAAAAAAAATGCTGTCGCACAATGTTAAGCCCATCAGAAATAGCTGGCACACTTTGTAATAACATTTGCCCCACATTGCCCCCCAAAAAAGCTGTCGCACTTTGTAATAACAGACCATCATACTTGGTAAGCTATTTATTTTATTTTTTGGAGGGCTATTCGCAGCCAAACGAATAAGGAGCAAAAATGTGTAAATTACATAAGGGCTGTTGTGTCATGTTGTTTTAGTTTTTGTGAATAGGGACCTTTAGCACTTAGGACGGTAACGCCAAGGAAGAAGTCGATTTATAAATGAATATATATTTTCAGTGGGAATTTCGCGAATGACTGGATGTGCTTACCATTTATTATGGTGCTGCAAGTTAACCTTAGCATAAAGTATGAGAGCGGCGTTGAGTTCCATGTGGAAACTTAAGTAATTTGTCGTCAGGGTTTCTTTTCTCGTACCACCCAAATTTTGATGATTTCACGTTGTCAAGGTCACGTATGAATTTGATAGGGAACGTTATCCTGCAATTGACCAATAAACTAGCGCAAAGCTATAGATATTTTCCAGTGTCAAGCGGTACTATTAAGGTAGAAGCAATTCTATTAAAATCTATTTCCCTACCGATATCCTCCTGGTTCGATTTTCTCAACAGCCGCCACATTTTCGGCGTCAACATCACTGCACAGAATGCACCAGTAATTACGAACCCCATCAAAAGGATTCTTTTACGTTTTACGATAGCCCTAACTGGAAAATTCATTTTGTAATTCAATATTCGTGCAACTTCTCTTTGTTTCGATGGAAGGAGTCTTCACAGTTGATATTAACGCTCACTTAAGTTGACGAAGTGAAGATTCGTAAATGGTATTCGTGGGTTCGTGTGTTTCGAGTCACATGACGAGCTTTGCGCCGAAAAAAGAAATGATGCAAATTAGCCAACTGTATATTGAATGTGCAGCCAGTTAATTTGCATAAATATTTCAAGGCAAGGTTTGACGCCTGTCGGTGGCATGAGGTGTTCACTGAATACACTAGGTCATCCGATAATCACCACAAAAAAAGTTGATAAAGCTCCCCTCGACAACAATACGCACAGGTGATCAGAACCTTTGATCAGCAAAGTACAATACTTCACCGGACCAAACCATTCAGAGGGGATTTAGTCGTATAAATGTCGAATAAACCAATCAGAAGGGGGGACCGTTATACGTCCAAGACAGAGGGAGAGATATTTTCCACGATCACATGAGGAATCGTCAGCCTTAGCACATATCAAAGTCATCACGACAATAGCCACACAGAGTATTGCGTGATCCCGAGATCCGGTAAAAAATTCCCTCTAGAAAGGCTATTTTGGGTGGAATACTGCTTCTCTTTCTCAAAGTTGTGTTTCTTTCTCAATTTTACCACCAGAAATAAGTTGAAAAATATCAGTAACCTACAAACTGGAGAGAATTTTTGCGATTTACGCATGGCATCATAGTTAGTAGAGTCTCCTCTACTAACTATGATGGCATTTTTACACTTTCTTACTTTGGTTTGATGTAAATTTTGAAAAGCGTGACCGACCGGTATGAAGGTAGATCGTGGAAAAAATATTCGACTCGTAGTTTTGTCGTGGCGTTTCATCGTTTCCGATACTTCTGGTCAACTCGTTGTTTACCGAGTTCGACTCGTCTACTCGCTGTTTTATGAAGTCGGCTCATCTTTTCGTGAGCTCGTCTCGTCGTCTTGTCAGTTCGATTCGTCGGCTGGCCTCTTACGGGTTTGACCCATCACTGACCACATCGGTTTCTCGTTGTTTGTCGTTTTGCCGTTTCGTTGTTTCGTCAGGGCTTCATCACTTCACCGCTTCATCACTTCATGTGTTTTGACGTTTCGGCTCCTCTTTTCAGCGGGGCTATAACTTGACATGTCTTACATGGAATGTTACTTGATTCCATGCACTCATACGTGACCCATCTCTCCATAATTTGGTCTCTGCCAAGCTACAGCATAGAATTCGTCTTGAATCGAGTGGATGATAGTTTTCATGAAAATCAAAATGGAATTGGATATCTAGTTACACACCTTGACAGAGTTTTGTATTTTCTAGCACGTGCATCTTCGTTATTTAACATTCCCCTCAGCTGGAGTGTTTGTTGCATAGGGCTCATCAAATGTTTGTTGTTCTTGGTGGTAATGACAACTCATTACAAAGGCAGTTGTTTAAGTTTACAGGATGTAGGGGTCGTCCCAGCATAGATATTCCTAGAGAACCTCTAGAACAGTACCTTAAAAACAATTTTACCATTGAAAAACTGCTCGACTTTTCTGTGTGTGTTCCACGACGTATTATTGAATATCAACTCCACTTTGAAAAACACAGTTCTCTAACCGACGCAGAATTGGATGATGTTATGTAAGTGTGAATTCGTCCATCGTCACATCTGGGATTCCTATGCTTGCATTATCTTCATATGCATGCCGGTGAATTTATGTTGGTTTAGCAAAATTTACGGCTGAATGCTATTTCCAAGAGCTTAGCAAAGTGGTATGATTTTAATAAGGGAAACAACTTAACCAATGCCAGATGTAAGAAAACTCGTAGATTTACAAATTAGCAATAATGACATCTTGACCAGGTGTTACTTGTTATCCAAGGTTTTATTTTGGATGTTTTAGTATAAACATTTACAGACTAATGTTTCTGTAATTACATGTATTAACAATGTATTTTTAGATGATGTCACAAGCATAGAACTTAAGTAAATGAAGTATTGGTGAACCAATACTCAAAACAAAATCTTAGTTTTTTGATTTTGTAAAAGGGGAAGGGATGAGGCTGTAAGTTGATCTCAGCTCCTATAGTAGTAAGGAGACTATGAAGAAATCCTAGAGTGATTACACAACAAGACAGTTCCTGTATTTTCATTTTCTCATGGGAGAAGGGAGCAGTGCAGTCCCCAAAACCCCATCCCCGAAGCCACCACTGAAGCCACCACTGAAATATCTTTTTCATGCTTCACTTATCTATTTGTTCAAAAGCTCAGATGGTCTGAAGACCATTCACAGATGTGGGTATTGGAACATGTGTGGGCACCTTCATCCAAGAGGTCATAAAGTGCAATGGGATCCTATTCAGGACAGCATGAGAAGGTTGTGTCTTGAAGAAATTTTAATGTGGGCGTTACAGCTTATGGCAGTCAGATGCAGAACTTACTTTGTCCAGGCCCCGCTTTCACTGTGGCATATCAATGGAAACCACAAATTAATGAGGTAGCTACTGTCTGTTGCAGGTAATCACAAATCTTCTATTTGTTTGGCAAACATATGAATGATCATGGTGTTAAGACCCTCAATAGCTGATAAACAGTTTTCCATGTAAGGAAAATTAGGTTGCTTTATCCAAGAAATGTTACTGATTCACCAAAGAAGAGCAAAGCTGAACAGGCAGTTTGGCGTAATTTCTGAAAAATTATTTATTTAATATTTGCATGCACAATTGATGCACCTTTTTAATGTTCTCCTGAAATTGAGTGTAATGTGTCCACTGTCCTTAAAATGTTTGTCTTTTAGTGCTTGTGTTGATGACTGATATCAAGCAAGCATGTCTAATTTATTTTTAGGTGGGGGTTTGTAATACAGGGTGGCATAGATGGATACTCAGACTTATCATGTACTTGCACTGCAGTTGTAGCAACAAAGTAGCAGCTGTCCTTCAACTTTTATATTCTGCAGTTGAAGAAAATCAAGACTGCAAGCTGACTAAGGCATGGAAAACATTGATGTCTCTTGGTATCTACAAACACATCCAGATAGAGGGCCAGATCATGAAAGGTTTATTGCTGAAAGAAGTTGCCATAATCAGCAAATTGAGCATCGAGAGAGTTGTTTTCTTAACCTTTTTGACCATATAGAATCTGAGGGACTTTTGGACATTGACTTGATCTCTACATGTTTGTTTTAATAAATAAATAAATGCCCATCTTCAAGAGTTTACGGAAGGGTGGAATCATCACCCTCTATCCACAGAGGAAATTATGTCTCCAACTCAGTTATGATTATGGGTTCTCCACAGATTTTCATTCTCTGCAGAGCAAGCACAACTATTTGAGTATTGAAAGTACATTTACTGTTTCTTATCTATAATGTATAATGGCACAGGACTAATATCAAATAATTCCTAATTGGTCTAGGTCTGTTTGTTCTGAAATAGTTCTTTTCTTCTGGCATATACAAGTAAGAAGCTATACAACTTGACATAGATGCAAGCTCTGCCATTACTTCAAATGAAGTAGTTCACAACACCTTAGACAAGAAGCCAATGATCAGCAAGAAGAAGAGCTAAATTTAATGGCAGATGAAAAGTCCGACAGCGATGCTACAGATGGTGGAACTAGTTGTTTTTTTGAATAATTTCAAAACCACTGCCGACTCCATTGAGGTGTTAATTATTACTGGTAACATGGGTGAGAAGTTTTCAAGCGAAATTGCTGAAAATTTGGTCAGAAATTGATAGCATAAAGTCTAATGTATTACCAACAACACACACCATCAGTCCCAATTACTGCTAGAGCTAAATGAGCTTCGACTCAAGTGTTCAACTTACAAGTCAATCATCGACAACCTTGAAAAGGAAAAGGCTAGTCTGCTCGAAGTTATAAAAATTCTCTCGAGTTCAGAAGATTGCAAAAACTCTGCCCCCACACATTCTTCAATGAGCAATGAACCAACTGAAGGAAATACCATGTATGAATAAAGTTACCATACCATACCATTTCTACTGAGTGAAGTATTTAATTTATTACATGACTTCTTATGCTGTTTGAAAGCCCAATCTCAACAAATTTAATTTTTTCCATTTGGATAATCGTTGCTGGAACATTTCATTTTTATGATAGAAACTCTTCTACAAGAAAAAAAGTTGTTTATTGTGGTTATGACTACAAAAGTACAGTCTAACCTGCATAAATGCACATATATCTTACCTTGCTGTAAAAGTTCCTCCCTGCTCATGTTCCTCTAACACTCCATCATGTCTAAACAGTAAAACCACAATATGTGTGTCACAGATAAGCATCACTGCACAGCGTTGATCAAGATCCACACACACCAAAGGAGGCCAAAAATACTCTTGATTACAACTCTGTAGTGTGATACAAGGAATAAAAAATGACTGTAAAATTGGGAAAGTACCATCCATCACATTATCTATCATGTGAATTCATGTTGCCATTTACAGAGGAGGAATATCAGGAATGGTGAACATACACAACAACAAGAGGAAAGTTGTACAGACCCAAGTTATTTTCAAGTTTTGGAGCACAGATGGCTTTTGCCCCAAACTTTCAAATATACAGGTCCTTAAACAACTTGGTAAGTATAGTTTATAAAACAAAGCTTTTGGATTCGTTCTTCCTTCTTGGCAGGTCTGTGTATAATTTTTCTGCTGTGTAAACCAACTTTGAATGGACTACTTGAAAGTGATTGTCCATTACATATTCACCACTAAACTGATGAAGGGCAAAAGGAACTTCATGAGGTGACGTTCACCTGTATCCTACCTACTCTACTTAGTTTAACTTCTGATGTATATAAAAAAGTCTCAAGTGGGCAAAAAAGTGTATTACAGGCCTTAAGTTTACCAAAAATCCCTTTTATGTCATTTGTATTGTTAAGTTGATCAAAAAAGAAAGCCATCATGTTTAAATTGCCCCATAATTATTGATCAGTTACCAATAGCTATGGAAGATACAATGGCCAGATGTTTAATGCACTGGACCCTGGGTAAGGTCTGGGATTCAATATGTTACGATCTGGGGCAAAACACTTTCCATCCACAGTGCCTCTCTCCACCCAGAGCCAAAAAGTTGGGTTGCAGTGAATTTTGAGGGAAGCTTGATGAAAAGTTGGGGGGGGGGGGAGAGGTACAATGTAGCCTTGTAATCTTGCAATAGACTGGCATCTTGTTCAGGGGGGAGGGGGGGAGAAACTAAAAGACCTTGTCACCTCATGGTATGGAAACCAGAATAAGCTCCAGCCAGATGAGTCTCTTGGCTCTAGTACAGAATTTACTTAACAATAGCTTTTATTTGAATTATAACCATTCTCGCTATGAAGACAAAATTTTGTGATCAATTTAAAATTTTTGCTAGCATTGTACAGGTTTTATTAATAAATTCTGCTACCTTGATTATTTTGTTGTCTTCAAAGTAATGCAAACTTCTTGTCTTCAGGCCATGAGTGCCTAGATCATAATCCACCACAGCAAACTGCACACATAATAAAATGACACTTATTAATGTGAATATTTGGTTAACCTTTTAACTCCCAGAAGTGATTAACATAAAACTTCTCCCTACAATCTCCACACACACAAAAGTGACAGAATCTATATTAATCAACTCAAAAGGCTTATTCCTCTCATTTTTTGCAAATTATCGATTAATACAAACCTAATATTTAATTGCTTAAACTTCAAGAAGAGAATACCTTGGTGTCCTCAAAGCTCAACAGCAGTGAGTCCCTTGAATTTCCAGCTAACCTAACAGCTTTAAGACATTCTATGTTGTCAAACAAAGAATACTGACTGACAAGCCCCAACTTCCTTCTCTTTGTAGTACCATCTAAGTAAAGTAAACCACAGGTGACCCAATCTTGCAAAGTGAAACTCTTGTATATGAGCAGTTCAATTGACCATTACATTGAAAGGTGGAGATGTCTTAAAATGTTGGTAACTATATATATTTACAATCTCCTGAGGGGCTAATCCCCCCTTCCAAACCCCCCCCCCCAAAAAAAAAAAAAAAAAATTAAAAATTAAAATGAAACTACCTGGAAGTAATAACATGGAAGATTGAGAACATCTCTTTCTCTATACCATGTCAGATATTGGTCATTTTTGTTGGGGATCAAATTTGTTGCAATCAGTGTTTGAAATCACCAAGTGTGCCAGCTTAAGTTACCAGAAATATTCATCATATCACTCTCTATATTTGGGCAACTTTCTACTTTCCAAATCTGGTGCTTTTGAGGCTGGATTCTGATTTAATTGTTGGCTACAAGTTAACTAACAAAAGCCTGTTACAATTATATTTTACACTTGATAGCCCAAATAAATACTGATACCTTAAGTAAATACTGACCTCCTATCTTGTCTGATGATGTTGATCCTGTTAAATTATGCTAAAAGGAAGACATCATAGATAAAAAAGTTTAATAACAAATAATAGCCAAAGGCCATGTGAACATTACTTAATAGTTAAACAGAAGGTAGAGACCCAAAGTATTGATACCAAGGCATATAAATAAAGCGTGAGAAAACAGCCATTTCATTTACCAACTATAGTCAATTCCCTTCGCCAGCCCTTCAGCCGCCATATTGTTTGTTTACCTTCGATCATTTTGTTTTGAAATTTTATATACATATTTTGATTTGACCACTCAAACAATATATCCTTTTCTGGGTACCAACTACACAGCCTGAGGAAACCGTTGACCACTAGGAAAAAGAGACGTCGGAAATAGTTTAACTGCTTAGGAAATTTCGCTTTCAAATAATTAACAGTGTATTTGTCTACACCTGATAATCGAGCATGATATTTTCAATAATACAACAACTGAAGTCCCCATTAAACGACTCACGGAACCCGTCTCCTACCTCGTCTTGGGTATAAAACTGGTAAATACGAAGCTGTGATGTCCCCACCGCAACAAGATTGTTTCAGCTAACGAAAAGATTTGACAGTACACGCAGTGTTCGACTCCTGTCGGAGGGTGTGTTTGTTTATAAATCGCATACATCCTCTTCAAAATAATAATAACAATAAAAAAACAGAATCTCCTGCAAATAACTGAAATTTATAGCAGGAAAAAGGTAACCGAAGAAGTTCAGCAACAAAAAGGCATGAAACTGAATGCCATGTTCCTACTGTTTGAGAGAAGAAATCTACCAGGCCTTTCGCTTTGACACCAGGCCTCTTTGGGAGATTCCACCACCGAGCGTCATTGCCATGGAAACGATTTCTGGTGCATTTTGTTCTCAGTCTTAAAAGGATTTCTCACCGACAGCAACAAAGTAGTTGGAGACTAAGAAAAGAAAAAAAGGGGTCCTGAATATAGAATCTTGGTACACCGTCGAACTCAACTCCAAGCAAGACTGACTGTGAACTATAAAAACGTAATGAGAATCAAGAATATCTAGTGGTTTATTACGAGCGCTGGGAAAGAAAGTCAACCGACACGTGTTCGCTTTTAATCTGACAAACAAACAAAAAAGGT